CCAGAAATGTAAATAGCTGTACAAATAGCTATTGTACAAAGCTGCTCAGTACAAGGAAAATGAGCACATCTACAGAGGTGGAAAGTCTAAAACTGATCTCCAAAGGTGGTATTAATCTGCTTTTCTTTTTTGACTTCATTTTTCTCTTTAATTTTCGTGTGTGACTGTCTTGTCATATACTTCACCAATATAGCTACTCTACTTTCATGTAAATTATATTTTATTTTCTTAGGAAATCAAACTAAATACCTGTGCTCTCTGTCCGTCTCATCTCCCCTGATACCTTCTGACTCATTTAGCTGGGTTCAGACAGATTAAGCCAGAGTTGAGGCCTGAAAGTCTGGGTTCTTGCAGGTTTCTGAAAATTGGTGGCTGGATAAATCCATACATCTACTGAAGGAAACGGCTATAGATTGAAGACGGTAGTTACCTGTTCTGCCTGGCATTGTTAGTTGATCAGTTAAAATATTGTATTGGTCCTGCATGGCATGCACAGCTCGAATGCAAGGTATCTTGTATCCTGTTCAGCTGGGGTGAGGAGGAACAGAAGACACTGGCAGAGTTTAAGATATATTTGGAAGAGGTGAATTGAGAGTATTTTAGGGGATGGTATGAGAAAGCCATTGAGCAGGGGGAGAAAATGCTGAGAATGCTGTAGCCAAGATTTTTGTTTGGAAATATGCTTCATCTGCTTTAATGAAACCTGACTGCTCCTTGTTGAGTATAAATGCCCAAGTTCTTCAGGTATTTGTTCATATAACATAAACTTTTAGAGATGCTAATGATGATCGTAAATATGTTGAGTTGTTGCATACATTTTTTTAAAAATAAGATCGTTGGATTTGTGCCTTGAGTGCCTTCCTTGTAGGTGATGGAAATGCCACGTCTCTTGCGGGTTAGTTCCATAGCTGCTTCAAGCCACCGGTCAAACAGCAGGTTACTGCTGAAGGTGCTGTCTTGCCTTTTCACTGGTTGCATCTTCCCACCGTCTCCCCTGTGGCAGCACTATCATTCAGGAGCTGGAAAGCTCAGCTGGGGAACTGGAGGTGTTGAAAACTAACCCAGAAAAAACCCCATAACGTCTCAGATGGATTTAGTTCCCTTATCTGTTTAAGTGCAGGAACAGTAGTGCCGGCACAAATGAGGTAGTGGAAATCCTGTAGCTGGCTTTGGAGGGAGAAATGGCTTTGTCTGTTAGTGGAAGCTGGCACCACATTTTGCTTTTCAAGCCATTGTGCAACTGTGCTCTGTTCTTTCTTGCTGCTTATCTCTGACTGCGGTTTGGGACTTTTGTGACTCAAAACTCCAGAGACTTCACGTGGATTATTCAGTGTCCCTTGGTAAGGAACGTGGAGCTACTGGAAGCAGCTAAATTACTGTGGCAGATATATAGATATCCTGGATGCTGCATGAGAGTGCAAATTGCTGGTAATAAGTGCTTTCTCAAGGCTTTGGCTTACTTTGCGCACAAGACATCAGAAAGAAGTTTAGGGTTTTGATCATGGAAGAAAAACTTGAAACGTGTATTGCTTCAAGTGGTTCTTGATGATACTGCAGGCACAAAATCTAGATCCATGGTGATCTTGCTTGCTATGAGAATCTCCTTTGGATTTTAATCCCCAGGAATTCTTCATGAAATAAGGTAACAACAGAGAATTTACTGTTTGAATGTGAGTTTTATCATTTAATGATGGAGGATTCACGTTCTCTGATGGACTTCAGTGCAGACACATGTAAGTCTTCTACAGCATGAAGGGAAGTTGTTAGCTTCTACTACTACTGTACTGCACTCGATGCACTGTAGTGGTCAAACTAAAGAAATTTTAAGAAAAACGTATCTGCTTTGACTGCTACATTTTCTTATTAGAGTTCCTCTGCACTGAGACAAGCAGACTTGGTTGTTAATGATTGGCAGTCTTTGTATCTTCTAATTGTATCTGCTTCCTTTCCCAACTGCTAACTTTATGTAGTCTGAAGTTGTGTCTCTGTACTGCTGGATTTGAGAGACAGCAGCACTGTATACCTCAACTATGAAGCTTCTGTCCCACTCACTCCTGTTTGTGTTTTCCTGAAACCATACTGAACAGAACATGAGGTAGCTGAATAATTTCCTGCCTTTGCTGGTTTTGATGCAGTGTAAACCTCAGAACTCCTGGGAGGATGTCTGCAGCGCTGCTTGTGGTTGCTTTGTCCTAATTAAAAACAGCAATAAAAACCAACAGGCACAATGAGTGTTCAAATACTGCTGCATGAGAGTGAGAGTTTAGCTGAACTTGCTGGCTGTCATTCAGGAGGACCTGAAATTTAATGAAATGTGTAATGTAGGATTAATTTGATTTTACTTAATGCGATTTCTCCCACGCTTAAGAATTTTAGGAATACACCTGTGTGTTAAAGCAAATTGTGGGTTCTCATCCCAGGTAAAGCTCACAGCATGGACAGAATGGATGCAGTAGTAAAACAGGCATATTTGAAGTACCAGTTCCTTGATATAATAAATGTCAAATATATTTGACATTGTATCTCACAGAATCACAGAACGTTAGGGATTGGAAGGGACCTCAAAAGCTCATCCAGTCCAATCCCCCTGCCGGAGCAGGAACACCTAGATGAGGTTACACAGGAAGGCGTCCAGGCGCGGGTTTTGAATGTCTCCAGAGAACGAGACTCCACAACCTCTCTGGGCAGCCTGGTCCAGTGCTCTGTTACCCTCACTGAGAAGAAGTTTCTTCTCAAATTTAAGTGGAACCTCCTGTGTTCCAGCTTGTGTCCGATACCCCTTGTATCTCTTAGAGCAAAGTCAACCTAAGAAGCCAAAATCAGTGTATCTTTAAAAATTTCAACTTTCTTATGGATTGTCATAAGGACATATTAAATTTCCTTTAAAAGACACTTATTCCCCTTCCCTGTTTTATTTACCCATCTTTGGAGTTGACCTGAGGTGAAACCCATTGCTTAATAGGGGAATTTTCCTGTCTGTGAGTTTATATCTACCTGTTTAGTTTCAGATTTGCTGCTTCTGTTATTAATGAAAATCTCTTGCGCAATCTAGGGAAAAAAATGAGCTCCGTAAAGTTATGTGAATATGTTGTAATTTGTCATCAGTAAAACAGTGGCACTGACTGTAGAAGCTGCTATCAAATCTAATAAAAAAAGCTGGAGAAAGGGGATTTTTTTCCTCAGATCTTAACAGTTCTCCATAAGGATTATTCGTGACAATGAATGCACATTCTGAGTGAGAGTGTGTTTTTATTGCAATGTGATTGTATCTTTAGATAGCTGCAAAGCTAAAAGGTTAAGATTTATTCCTAATGTGGTGGTTAAACTACCTGCTTACATATGCCACTCATGGGGAGGAAATTCTGAAGCTCAACTGTGCTTCTCTGAGCTTCTGTGAATTAATTCTCAACGCTTGCACCTGCATAGTGCTTGTATCTTCAAAGCAGAATCTTTGTAACTCAGTGTGAGGTTGGCAGACACAGATCTAGGACTTAATATCCCATAAATCAAAGCAGCCTGCAAATACCAAGAACATTACGGAGGTGCTCAGCACAGGAGTTCATTTCAAAATGGAGGAAAAATTGTTAATCTCTGTTGGCTGTGATTTTCAATTATAATCACTTGGCTGAAACGTCAGTAATTTTGCAAAAATATGAGCAGTCTTTATCATTACTTGAATTTGAGTGTAGATGTTTCCATTTTTCCCAGTCTTTTCCTTAGTCTTCTGAGCTGTGTCTTATTAGTGCTGTTGAAAAGGACGTTGACCATAGCATTAGGTTTGAATGGTTTTCCTTCTGTATTTACTGATCATATGGCAGATATATGCCCCCAAACCTCTTCTAGATTGATGCCTTAGTTATAGCCCAAGGCAAATAGGTTTGTGAAGAGAATGCCTTTTCTGAATAATGCTCATTATGTGATTTTTAAAAGGCACAGGAAGGACACATGAGAAATAGAAAAGAGTAAAAATCTAAGAAGAATCTATGCGGAAGTAAGGAAAAAAGGATCATGTGCCAGTGTGTCTTCAAGCTGAGTTGCTTGATATGGGACGAGGACATTGGTGATGAGACCAGTTTAAGGAGCTCTTAAGGATTTAAGGATTCCCTTTCTGCTTGCAGCCTCACTGCACAAATGCTGATGTTTGTGAGGTCTTGCTGTAGACAGGGTTGCTAAAATGGTTGGGGTCTGTAACAAAGATCCTTTTTTATTTTTATCTGTTTTTAAATCATGTTTTGTCAGTGTGGTGAACTTGAGTACAGAGATGGGAATGAGTGAAGGATTGAGGAGCTTTAACTGATTTAAACAGTGGTAATGTCTTTGAACTGACAGTGAACATAAACTGAAATGAGAGGTGCTGGATATAGGACAAAAAGCCTTCTCACTGTTGTGACAATTATGCACTGGTACGGAATGCCTATAAAGATAATTTCTAGGCTGCATCCATAGAGGTTTTCAATACATGGCTGGATAAAACCATGAGCAAGCTGGTCTGCCTTCATAATTTACCCTGTTTTGAGTAGTAGGTTGGCCTACAGACTTCCTGATCTCCCTTCCAACCTAATTTATTCTATGAATCCATGCATTGCACTTCTGTTTTATTTTTTTGTATAATAGTTTCAAATTGCTGAGGTTCTAAAAAGGGGAAATGAGAATTACTGTCTTTAGAGCCTTCGTTACCCAAATGAGAATGACTGAGTTCGTTGCTGTTTTCATGTATGCTTTACCTACAAATGGGTCTATATAAAATACATTAAGTAGGAAAGGGTAGAAAGTCTGTCTTGGAATTGTGCACACAACTGAGTGTTCAGTGGTTACATTTTTAAAAGTCCTTGGTATTTGTAATTTGCTCACATTGAAATCAACAGACAGCTTGCTTTTTCCTGGAAATGTGAACAGATTTGGTTGCCTCATACACTACAGCATATTTTAATAGCCTAGTCTGTTTTTTGAAGGGTTCCTGTGCATCTAAAAGTTTCCTTTTTTTTCCCATTATAATTCAGTTCGACTAAGGAGAAAATCAAGACGGCGCTCGCAGTGGGGCAAGGGCATTATTAAGAAGAGGAAAGTCAATAATTTGAAGAAAGATGAAGATGATGCAAAGTTTGCTGATGATGAAAATCATGGAGAGGACAGTAAATTACTAGAAAACGGAGAGCTAGAGATCAGCACTGACTGCATTGAGGAGAATGGGGAGGAAACAGGAGATCTCTCCATGACAAATGATGAATCCTCTTGTGATATTATGGACATTGATGCAGAGCAGAGGCTTAACAATGGGACGTCAGGAAAGGAAAACAACTTTGCATCCACAGAAGAAGAGAGCTCCAATGAATCTCTGCTAATAACTGACACTGTTACCTTGAGTGCTGAAAAGGGGGTAAGGAAGGACTCTGCGTCGAAAGGGGACTGTATGAATGGAGAGGCATCTGTGCACAGCTTGGAGGGTGTCCTTGTTCCAGCCTGTCATAACGGTAAAGTGGAATCAGTTGATGTTGTTTCACCCTGTGACAGCAGTGATGGGTCTCGTAACAGGCAAAAATCTTCATCTGAATATCAGTCAAAGGAGAAAACGGAAACTTGCAGTGAGAGTCAAGGAGCTGATCCAGTGAAAGCTGAGGTACCACATTGCAGCAATAATGAAAAAACACTACAGAGCACAGACATTGAAACTAAAGATGCTGAAGCAGATAAAGAAGGTATAGCTTGATTTCAGTGTTTCTGTCCTTATCCTAGTGTCAAAGTTAGTATGTGTATATTTTTAACTGTAATATCTTATGTTACAATTATTATCATATTATTCTATTTTATGAAGTGCTCTCTTATTTATTTAAAACTTGTAGAGTGCTTACAACAATGATTCCACATAGATAAATTACAAGTCCACCCTTGACTTCCTGTAATGTTGTCCTAGACAAGTAAGTGTTTCTCCATACTTACAATATTCTGTTTGTTTTTGTAGGCTTTATGGGAAATACTGTAAATATTGATATAATTATTGTTTAAATGTTAAAGTTTAAAAAATAACGCAGATAAGTATATGATACACATTTTGGTCTGTATGTTCCATTAGATCCGTATTTTAATCTGTATGATGTGTTTTGTCTTACTTTGCTAGAGATTTATGATAAAAATATCACTGACATCGGGTGAAAGACCATAGAATGTGTTCCTTTAAACACAGTTGCTCACAGCAAAAGTTAAAGCGGTTTAACCCATAGCAAAAGCCAGATAAAGCTGTTGTTTATCTAATGGAGAAGGTGTCTGGCTTTGGAGTTACAGTCAACACAGTAACAGTGCAGCAAAAAGATAAGGGAAAG